TCATAGACACACTCATCTTAATGTTTTGAAATTCCAACAAGCTTTTGCCACCCTTGAATCAATAACTCCAAACAACAACAAAGATTCTACTCAAAGATTCAAGACAAACGATTTCCTCTCCATGTGTTTGTTTCGGAAAAAATAAGTTCTAAGAACTTATTTTTTTTCCATTTTCTTCCATTTTTCGATGTTTATTTCTCTTTTAGGAAAATAATTCAATGGAATTTGATTTCTAGTCAACGAAAATTAATAGACTATTTTTGAAAAAGTGACTTCCAAGCTAAAAAAGAAGAAAACATTATCTCTCTCTCTCTCTCTCATGAGTCGTCTCGCTCTCGCGTTACTTGCTTTTCTCTCGACATATTTTAACATTTTTTTCTATCTCATTTTTTATTTAAAATATATCAAATTAATTTTTAATTATTTCTTATCAATTATTATTAATTATTTAATTATTTTTTCTCTATTTCTACTAACATTTGATTAAAATTATTTTTACACCTTAAAATTATTTTTATAATAAATATTTCAATAATTTATCTCTATTTTTTTTATCATTATTTTGAACACCACCTAAACTATATTTAAATGATTGGAAATGATTATTACAAGATTGCAATCATTTGTGAAAAATTTGAAAATAGTTAATTGATTAATAAATACATTATTTTTTCAACATTATTCATTTACAACTAAATCAATAATTTGTGACTAATTTTAATCGGTTGTAAAATTTTGTTAGTAATTGTAGTCAATAATTCGTTACAAATTATTCCAAAATTAATCTTTTGAAACAAAATGAATAGTTATCTACAAATGATAACTAATAACATGTAAAACTATTTTTTAGACTAAATTATCAGTTCAATTTTCAAAAAAAAAAAAAAATTCTTAATTGAGTTACTAAAATAACAATGCTAGGATTACTTAGAATTTTTTTTTTTACTAAGTGTGAATATTGATTTGATTTTATCTTAAGTAGTTTTGATGAATTGAGTTGATGGTTAAAAATATACATTTTATTTTTTGATTTTTTTAATTTAAATCTTAGAGTTAGTATTTAAAATAATATTTCCTACATTTGAATGAAAAAAAAAAAATTATGGTCCAAATGATATTTCAACATAATGGGTCTTTTTATCGAAATATTCTTGATTATAACTTATGCCTTTTGTTTTGATACACTAACTTATTAGTAAATCATATACTCTGTTTTGCTAGCTTTTTGGATATGGATTATTATGGATGCGAGATCTTTTAACAATTTTTATATTGTGCAATTGTGAATATGCCTTATTGAAGTTTCCTCGAACTCATTGATGTAACAATTATCGCCTATTTTTGTATTTTAATTTTTTGTATCAAACAAATGCTTGGAATATATTTTTCAATAGTTTTTTTATGTAATTGCCAAACGTTAGAAAATATTTTTTTAGAAAATAACTTTCTAGAAAATAGGTTCTCCAAAATTGCTTTTCTTATTGGAAGTTGTTTTCCATCAAACAAACGGAGTCTAAGGTTCTTGGTGAACGGTTTTGATGTGGTGCTCGTGTGGAGGGTTCTTTTTTTTTTTTTGGCAGCTCGTTGGAGGTTTTTTTTTATTTTTTTTTCTGGTAGTTTTTTGGAGAAGAGCAAGAAAGCTTAGAATGAAAAAAAAAATCAGGAATGAATCTTACTTTGATCTACACTCATTGCACCTCTTGAAGAGGTGATTTTTTTTGTTTTATTTTAATAATTTGGTCCTTGGGTTAATTGAACTCATTTATTCTAGTGTTCTAACTTTACTTACTTCGATTGTCCTCCTAATCTTCTTTAATCTTCTAAATACTTCATTTTATTTAGTTTAATTGCATTAAAATTCTTCCTAAATCTCTGAAACACGCATAAATACCTATTGAGCATCAAAAGATTTCACACAAGCCCAATTAATGAACATATCATACACAAAAGCACGTTTCAATCACTATATTAGCATGCATGAAGAAAGATTTAAAGTAAACGTAAATTCGGTTATCATAGTAGTCGTGGATTTTTTAGCGAAGAAACAATCTGTTTTCGCAGCAATAACAAGGGTTTCACGTTATCAACCAAGAAATTAAGTCACCTGGGAGAAAATTTTGCTAATGCTCATTACTTTTTATATTCGGCTCCAAGCTTGGAGTAGGTCATGGCGCTCTTAAATATTTTATTCCCCATGATTCAGGTCCAAGCTCTGGAGGAGCAGGTAATACAGCTACATCCAAGTAGATGAGCTAGGACTGTCTCAACAACATTTGTTTCCCTCCAAAACACCCTCAAGTCGAAGCCAAAATGAAAGTAACGAGACACCTAAGTATTTTACTCCACATAAGACGCTTCCAGGTCTAAGTTCTGGAGAAGGTCCTGGGGCGTTAGACCCTGTTTTTTTAAGTATTCGTTATTATTATCCAGAGGAATTAGTGGGGAAGGAGTACTTATTATGCCGTACAAAACCCTTTACCCTCCCTCTAAAGTTAATAATAATGGGTTTGCTTCTTAATTTTGTGCTAAAATTGTATTAATATCCAATTCTGTTTGTGCCGAGATGCTTGGTAACAATCCCTTAGTTGTGCAAGTTACAAAAAATTGACTCAAATGTCTTTAAAAATTGAAATGAAGCTGTGACATATATATGTTGGAGAAGCTCATGCCTGCCCAAAGCAGGGACATTACTAGTCACGATCCACTCCGATAGTTTTGTCTGATCAACTCTTGCAAATTTCTGATGTTCTCATCATAAGATCTAGTGTTTTTTTTTTTTTTTTTTTACCCCTTCATTGTGTCACAGTTCATGAAAACCAAAAGTCAAATGCATGGTAGCGGAAACCCATTGGAACGACAGAGAACAGTATTGTTATAGCCTTGTGCAGATAACCTGGTTAAAACATGCGAGGAGGTTTATCTTAGTAGAGTTGGCAATTAAAGAGAATTACATTGTCAGCTAATTTGTTGCATCCAAGCCCATTAGAAAGGTTAACCCCCTGTTACACAAAATAGGTTAGGAACCTTGCCACACGGCCACACCTTGTCTTTCTTTCTCGTTTTTTATATTTTTGTTTGCAAAAGGGGCCTAAAGCCCAAATAAGCAACATAGATGTATCCAAAAGCTTTGAACTCTTCTACATCCTAAATAAGGCTTAGAGACTTCTTCAAAACCGAAGTGTCTCCAAAAATAAGATATCTAATGGTGCACTTTATAACGAAAGGGTAGTCCAGCAATAAAGGGGTCTTTTTTTGTTTTTAAATCTGAATTAATATTTAATTTTTATTACTTTCAAACAACGAGACATAATTATTTTTTGGGATGATTACCAGAAAAACCTTTTAAAAAAAATCTTATATCTAAATAACTTGTCAATTTATTTTTAAATCTCTCAAACCCAAAATAATATTTTTTTTACCAAAATACGCAATAGTTAACCTCTAACTTAACACTAGTTAACTATTGGGTCCTTAGGTAATACAATTTTTTTTTTTTTAGGTTTGAGAATTTAAAAAATAAATTGATGAATTTTTTATATAGAAATTTTTTTAGAGATTTTTTCTAATAATAAACTCATTTCATAGTTTTTAATGAGCTTGATATTTATTATTTTTTAATCATAAAGTCAAGTTTTTTTTTTTTTTGTTGCATTCGAAAGAAAAAAAAAGGTTTTTGAGGTTATTTGACTTTTAAATACTAACATTCGACTACTATTTTTTTATTGTAATAAAAAATTCATTATATTAGAGTTTTTTTCTATCAACCATTTGTTTCATTAATTACGAGATTAATTTTACTATCTAGTAATTATAGCAACCAATGCAATTTAACTAATTAATATTGATTAATGAGACTCTTGTTATTCTCTTATAATTTAATTAAAAGGTTATCATACAAATAAGAAAAATAAAAATATGTATGATTATGAACATTAGTAATTTCTTAAATCATAATATATTGATAGAGAAAAAAAAGCATAATTGATAATACTAGTTTTTAATTAATCAAAACTCAACATTCTTTTATCAAACAATTAAATTAAATTAAAAGATGAATGTATAACATATTTTGGTGCATTAATTAAATAAAGCATGATCATCCATGATAAAAATACATATCTTGAAAGATAATAGTTTCATTTAAACTAGGAATAGTTATCAAAATACCTTCTAAAAAATCTTCTATCTAAAAAATTTACTATTTTATTTTTAAATATTCTAAACACAAAATAATATTTTTAAATCTCATAAGCCTAAAACAATATTTTTCGTACCAAAACAACCAATAGTTAACACCGATATTAATTATTGGGTGTTTTAGTAAAAAAATATTATTTTGAGTTTAAGAGATTTAAAAATAAATTTATGGGTTTTTTTAGATAGAAGATTTTTTAATAAGGTTTTTCTAGTAATTATCCCTTATTTTTTAGTATTTTTTAAATTAATTTATATGTCAAATAATTTTTTTTCCTGAAAAATCTTAAAGACGTAATTTTATATTGATATGATATATTTTAAAAATTTAATAAATTTTCATGATTGGTAATAATATGATTTAAATACAGACTAATTAAAAAAAGTGAAACATACATTTTTTTCAATTATTATACTAATCCATTAAGTTATGAAATCCCCGAACTATAAAACTGAGCAAAACCCTTGGCGAGGACGACAATACGTTGTTATACAATACGCCAAGTTGGAACGCATGAACCGAAACGATAAAACGACCGAACCTATTTAATTACTTATTCCCCCATAAAATATTTTGACCGAAACTAGTCCATTTCCGTTTAACCCTTCCTTCCAATCTGAAGAAACAAAAACATCATGATAACAAATCCTCAGAACTCCATACTCAAACCCGGTCCAACTCCCATTAAACCCGGTCTAAAACAACAAATCACAAATCCCTCAATAAACCCCAATCACTTTTCTCCTCTTTCACTCACAAAAACCCTAGTCATCTTCAAAAACCTCACTTATCTTCTCCACCTCTAATGGCTCTCTCTCTTTCAAGACCCAGACACAGATCCCTCACTAACCCCTCTCTGATCCACCTCTTCTGCTCATCTTCCTCTTCCACAAACCCATCGGATGACCCCTCTGTTTCCCAATCCCAACCTCCCCAAAACACAACTCCATCAGATGACCCCTCTGTTTCTCAATCCCAACCTCCCCAAAACACAACCCCATCAGATGACCCCTCTGTTTCTCAATCCCAACCTCCCGAAAAAAAACAACAACTGTTTTCATTAGCTAGCTATTTCAATGATGTCAAAGCCAGTCTTAAACCACAAAGCCCTCAAAACCAGCCAAATTTTCCGCCTTTAAGAAAACCCACTTACCCTACAAACACAACAAACCAATCAGTCTCAAAACCCACGAGCAATGTTGCTACTTTTGATGAAATCAGAAAGAATCTCTCTGAATTCAAGCTTAGATCCTCTGTTTCAACACCTACAGACCCTAACTCTGCACCCTCTTCTAAGGAAAAAATCTCATTTCAAGAACTTTATAAAAAAAATGTTCTTACAAAGTCGGCGGGTAGTGGAACCACTCAATCATCAGGGCCTAATAGTGGTATCAATGTCAAGGAACCCAGTTCTTGGAGCTCCTCATTTGATGCAATTAGAGAGAGTTTGAGGCAGATGAAGAGTGATAATAAGAATATCATGGATAGGAGAGGAGGAGGAGGCGAGGCAGTGCCATTTTCGAGTTTTAGGTTAAAACCAGGAATTGAAAATGAACCTATGCATAAGTCGACTATAATTGGTGGGACTGAGGGGTTGCCGAGTGCAGTGTTTGGGAAGGAAATGAAGGGGGAAGGGAGTGCGAAAGATGACTTGAGTACTGACTTTGTGAAGATGTATACTTACAGTGAGTTGGGAGATAAGTTGAGGACTTTGCGGCCGGAGGTGAAAAAGGGCGAAAAGGGGTGGTTTACTTTTGAGGAATTGAATGGGAGGTTGAAGAAGTTGAGGGAATTGGAGGAGAAAGAGACAGAGTCGACCATTGGTGGGGTTTCTTTTAAGGATTTGAGGAAGAGTTTAGTGACGTTGACAATGGCTGACGATGACAAGAAGAATTCGAGTGAGTATTTTTTTTTCCTTTTTTGTTGATTGTTTTTACTGTTTGTTGGAGTTTTGGTGATAATGGTAATAAGAGTAAACTACGGAATTCAAGGAGTTTGGCTACTTATTTAGGTAGTATGTTGTTTTTGCACTGGATCTTATTTGAATAAATATTTTTATTTAGCTTGATCGGGAGAAGTTATAGTTTACTTTGTTTATGAAGTTATTTCCATAAGCATCTCTCGCTTTAGTTTGAGCAGATGCTTCTACACTCCCTTGTTTGGGGTTTTGGTTTGTAAATAAGATGAAAAATGCATTGAATTTGTGATGGTTTAGGAATGTAACTGTAAAATTTGCTCTGTTTAACCTCTAGATTTTTGTCCTGAGAAAAAAACGAATGCAAAATTGCTTCCGTTTCTTTTCCTTTTCCTTTTTGTCAAATGTTTCTGCAAATGTTGTCATTGACATGTCCTTATCTAGCATGAAATAATACTTCATGCAGGTCTCTCTCTCTCTATTTGTTTTTAAATGTTTTGAGAGATGATGTGTCTTATCTTACTAGTTACTGGTCAAATTTATTGTTTCAGTTCAGAGACTGAATGTGTTGGGCAAGTTAGGTGCTCCAAATTACACGCTGGAGCCTCCAAAGGAGCACTTAGTTGAGAAGGCAAGTATAATTATCCTTTGATATTAATTTTACTTTTTGTTTGGAAATGTGAAACTTCATAAGATTCCTTATTTCATCAACATTGAGCTGACCTCATGTTTTGCATCACCCAACTTTAGTTTTTGACTTCTACTGCCTTAAAGGTTCATTGGGCATTAACAATGATGCAAACGAATTTGATGTTTCTACATTATATTGTGCTTACCCTTCTAGATTTATTTTTTCCATACATGTAGAAGAATAAATCTTTTAAGAGTTATGGACAATTGGCCTGGGTCTTTATATAGGATCATATTCTGCATCACATTCCAGAACGCCTCTTTTTTTTTTCCCCTGTGTTTCCCAATTTATAAGTTGAGTTGGCAAAATTTGTCTGACGACATAGAAGAAAATATGGAATTTTGGATGCACCTGTTGTATAATAGTCAAGACCTCAAATTGCCTCTAATGTATAGATTTTCAATAATTTCTTAAGGAAGAGAAATATTTTGATGGATAAAGTTTTGTAATGTTACATAACTCTTAGCAATGTGAGAAATAAAAGTGTAAAATAGTATTTTTAGTGCTGCATTATCTTAACGCATTGTAACAATATATTACAAAATAAAGTTTTGTAATGTTACATAACTCTTAGCAATGTGAGAAATAAAAGTGTAAAATAGTATTTTTAGTGCTGCATTATCTTAACGCATTCTAACAATATATTGCAAAAATAAAGTTGTTGAGGTTTAATATATATAAGCACATCAAGAGTTGCATCTTCACTTCCCGAAGTAAAAAGGTAAAAGCAGAGGATTGTGGTTTACGCTTTTGTTTTGAAGCTGAATTAAGAGCTAAAGATATAAGAAAGGGGTTTGTCTGTACAAGTAGACTATTCAAAGCATAACTGCTTCAACACTTAGAAATACCATTTGCTCTTAATGACCAATTACAGTCATTGCATATGTGAATCAGTGAACCTTGTAACATAAATATGGTTTGATGTCAGAAGAAGTTGAAATCCTGCTCTTACCATTACATGGCTGTTATGGCTGATGACAAAAAAAAAAAAAAAAAAAAAACTTAAATGGCTTGCATTTTTGTATTTAAAGTTTCTGTCTGGTTTATTGTGGTTTGCAATCCTTTGAAAATGTGTGGTTTCTGATAAAATAATTGGAGGGGTTTGGTGGTATATATATTGTTCTATTCTCCATGAAGTAGTTCTCATCTTGCTCACCATTACCGGCATTCAGTGTCTTAGTGTTCTGATGTCTTCGTTTATGGTTTATGCAGTATTTCCATCCTGATAACATGTCTTCTCCTGAGAAAATGAAAATTGAGCTTGCAAAAGTTAGAGAGGAATTTAAAATGTCAGAGTCAGACTGTGGATCAGCTCGTGTTCAAGGTAAAGGCCTTTCCATTTTGATTTTCTTATGATTTTAGGTGGTTTGAGGGGCAATTATATGGTTATCTTTTGTAAGATGCTGTTAACAATTCTTTGTTTTTGGCATCTGTATACTTTGCTAATTTCATGAAAGTGTCATTGAGGATGTGGTTCTAGTTGTGCAGTGATTAAGCTATTTGTTGCAAGTTGCTGTTATATATTCTTTGTTTTTGGCTCTGTATACTTTGCTAATTTCATGAAAGTGTCATTGGGATGTGGTTCTGGTTGTGAAATGATTAAGCTAACTGAAGTAGATTGCTGCAAAGAAAGAAAAAAGGATTAATTGTGTCCTCCTGCTGGGACTATTATTTGAGTTGAGATTCGTCTTCTTGTGAATGTTATTTTTAGTGTTCTGATTCAAAATTTAATCCTGTTCTGCACAGTGAACATGGCTGGAAAAATGTTGTGATATTGACATGGCCTTAAATTTATAAAATGAAAAAAAAAAAAAAATTGCCCACAAGCAATTTGAAGCCTCTTTTTGGCTTGGGGAGCTGCTTGGGATGGGATTTTACGATCAATGACCTCAAAACAAGCTGGACTCTTGGTAATTGATGGTGTGTAAAGAAGCTTCCAACTTCTGGGCTTGATACTTTCTTGGATTTGGAGTGTGTACTGTTAAATTGTCTTAAGTCATGGTAAGTTTGGTTGGTTTGTTGTGATGGAGTTGGATGCTTAAATAGGACATTGTTTTTTGTATACCAAGAGAAGATATAGGTGTATAACTTTTTTTTTTTTTTTGGAATGATTGCAATGCAATTTTGTATGAGTGACATTATTGCCGTACAGGGCAGTCTTCTGTTAATAAGGACCACATAGAGTTTGTTGATTATAATTTAGCAGCCAGATGCATCAGATACTTTAAGGGTTAGCCGGTTGGGCTTTAGAGTGGAATGTAAAGCAGATTATTTAGAGTTTGTTGATTAGTGTTTAGCAGTCAGATGTATCGGATACTTTACAGGATTCACCATTTGGTCTGCAAAATAGATTCAAGCAGATTTGTTGAGGGTAAGAGACATGGAGTTGTTGTTACATAGAACAATCAGAGGTACAAAGTGAATGAATGCGGATTTCCATTTTCTAGCATTGACTAGGTATACCAATGTGGAAAAAGTCGCATGGCATTGTGTGTTGCATCAATAAGTAAGAAAATTGGGTTATTTATTTGCCATTTCCAGTTCCATAGTGGGCTGGTGATCTCCCTCCCTTCACCTCTCTTATTTGTGACTACTCTCTTTTGCTTTGTATTGAGTATCGAAAATTTTGATGAATGCACTAATTTAAGATTTTTTATCCAAAGAAGTAAAATCCTTTAATGTTAGGTGTACCTTTCTTTGTGGATAGTTTTTTATGTTTATAATTGGTTTTCTGTTTTCTCCATGAGTCTATTTCGACAGAAGCGAAGAATTTGGTTTGATTGAAACTTCTCATACATACCAGTTTTTATGCACATTGTTTTCTTTGTTCAGATCTGAGATCTGTTAGATAATTTTTCTGATTGTTTTGCAGTGGCACTTTTGACAACTAAGATCAAGCATCTTTCTTCGGTTCTGCACAAGAAGGTGAAATGGGAGCCAAAAGAATCCTCTGTTTCTTACATTTTATTATTTTGGAGTTTTGATGCTTTCTGTTCCTTGAATTTAAATTTACATTCCATTTTATTAGGGTTAAGGGATGGTGTCTGTTGTAGTTGTGGTTATCCTAACTACGGCAGGAGAAAGTTGATACAAACTGCTATATTGACATCTGGAGATGTTTAAATTGGCATATATGTCAATTGATGATAGATACTTATAAATTTACTCAATTGAATCTCTCATTTGTCTAAGATGCAAAAATATAAAGAATCCATTAACATTTTAACATTTGATCAGTATTCTGCGTTTAGAAAGAAAGTTATTAACGTTAAAAGTAATACTGGATTCTGTGTGGCCCTTGCTGGGACCCTCATGTTGCCTTGGCCACTTTCCAATTTCCATCTCTCTTGATGTGCAATTGGATGGTTATTTGCCAGATGGCCTTCACTCGGTGATATGATGCTATTAACTGCAACTTTGAGACCGTAATGCATGGTGATTATTATGTTAGAAGAATGGTTTTATCCTACTCAAGTTTTTATGCAACTCATTTGCTACTATTCTGATTTTCTTTCCCACAACACTGTAGGATAAACATTCTCGGAAGGGTCTTCTGGCAATGGTGCAAAAGAGGAAGAAGTTGTTGAAGTATCTCCGGAGGACTGACTGGGATTCTTACTGCCTTGTTCTTTCTAAACTTGGTCTCCGAGACAATCCAGATCACAAGAACTTGACTAGGCAATAATGTCGAGAACTAGAATAGGACAAAAATGTAAGTTGGTTTACCAAAATTTGTAGAATTCTGTCAAAGATGCTGTCCTGTTCCTTTTTCATAATTTTTTGTTCAAAACAAGCAATGCTCTGCTTATACATGTTGCAATAAACTGCTGATTCTTGAAATATTGAAGTTTAATGGCAGTGAAAGTACAAATTGTTTTTTTTTTTTTTTTTTTAACATGTACATCCAAGGCTCTTAGGAGAACAAGTTTGTTAGAATTTGAAATCGCTATTTTTTTAAAGAGATCGCTACTATTAGGTTTAGGTTACAAACTTTTTGTTAAGTAGAAAATGCTTGGAGGCTGCATTTACAGAATTAAAGGAACATGTATATTTTATAGAAGGGAATAACGGAAGTCTTTTTTTAGGGCATGATTCGTTGATGACAATGCTTTGTTTTGGGACCTGCTTTCATCTGAAGCCAGTTTTTGAATTGAATGTTAGTTGGTTGACTTACATTTGGTCAGCTTGACGAGATTGTAATATTCTATCGAAAGTGTGCCGTAATGTGCTGCGATGTTTGTAAATGTGATAAGTAGTTCGTGAAATTCTGTTCATCGAAAGGCTTTATTCTCTACGCAACTTGGTTTCAGCTTGGATTAATTATACCATTGGTATACGGACTTTATCGATAGTGTCAGTCAAGTACATCAACTTTTAACTTCTTTTCATCTGAGTTTCTCTGTTGTTAAAAATCATCCTGTACCTAATATTTTTCGCAGCAACCCAAGGATTATGATCTTGCTGTGCTTGCAAATCTTTGAATCAACCCACCAGGTAAGACGCTGGTTAATGATGACTTACAGTAGCAAAGGTTCATCCAAGTGCTTTGATCTTGAAATTTGTGATCCTTGGAGCAGCTCAATCCTTGTTGAAAAAAGTGATCATGGGAATACTTAAAAGCGATCGTGGGCATACTTTGATGTCACATAAATGGAGATTGTCAACTAACATCCAACTCCAAGTATTCACTTGAATGAACAGTTCTAGAAAATTGAGATATGATTGGAAATATTTAAGCTAATGTACTTATGATAGAACCAATGAAGCTTAGACGCCAACTAATTTGTTGCAAGCGTTACCGCTAAGGATGAGCCGAGTATCAAAGGACACAATGAGTGAAGAAACTGTTTTATTAATTGTATCCGGTCATGCTTCATGGCAACATAATGTTTTTATTTAAAGTTGAAAACCTTTTATATAGACATTTTGGACATAGAACGTGAAAGCTTCAAACAAGAAATGTATTATATTAAATTCATGTATCTAAAGTTGTCGACTATTGATATTCTTTGATATAATGTTTTATAGAAGCAAAATACATAGAATATAACAAGATTAACGTTTAAGTCTGTAACATCCATTACACGTTAAAACTGATATTTAAAAAATTTTAAAAAATTAAGAACATATGAAAAATATTTCGTGAGCATGGAATAATCTTAGAAGGGTGTCGGAGTATTCGGAGTAGCTAAAATAGTTTTCCATGCTTAGTGAATATTTTGTGAATATTTCTACGCATAAATAGTGATTTTTATGTGAAATAATTAATTTGAGCATATTAAATGTGCATGAAAAATGTTTTGTTTTTTTATAGAATATTTGTTAGAGGGGTGTTAGATTATTCGATGCCATTGGTTGAATTTTTTGATATTTTGTGATTATTTTGTTTGAATTTTATTGTGCATAAATAGTGGTTTTGAGGTAAATTAATTAATTTAGATGCTTTAAAGATATAAGAAAATTATCCAATAAATATAGAAAAATCATTTAGGATGTGGAGGAATATTTAATAAACTTAGATGAATTTTTCTATGTATAAGGAATATTTTCTATATGGAATAGTATATTTTTACACTCGAATAATTAATTTGAAGTTCTAAATAAGTGTATAAAAATTATGTGAATGATGATTAAATTCTTTTAAGAAGTGTTTGAATTTATTATAAAAAGAATTTGAATTTTGGAAAGGTATAGAATGAAATTTTAAACTTTGGGATCTAATTGCATAAAATTAGGGATCCAATTGCATAAAATTAAAAGTTTGAACTTTCAAATTAAATTAGATATAAATTTTAATAGTTAAAAAGGTGTTAGAAAAACTTGAAAGGAGGGATCTAAAGTGGTCAATTAAATAAAAGAAGGATTTATGAAAGACTAATCAATAGAAAACTCTAGAAACTGGAGGACTAAAATTGAGTAATTTTCTCTCGTCTTTTGCCGACTTAAGGCAATAATTAAGCTTGAATTTCAGTTAAATGGGTGGCTCTAATTAAGCTAGATGGAAGATTAAGATTAAACGAAGGATAAAAAGCTAGAAATTAAGCCAAATGAAAGGAAGGGCTTAAAAGTTGAATTAAGGGCCAAGATTTATCCAAATTAAGGGTGGAGATAAAGTCAAAAATTCACCAAATTTTCCTATAAATATGAGTCTAGAAAAATGAAAAATGGAAGGAAATTAGAAAAATATAAGGGAAACTATTGCCAAATTTGCAACTCAATTTCCACCCAAAACACTTTCAATCATTTTTAGACATCCCAAATCAGTTAATTAGACCTCAATTTTAAGTTGGAAGCTCAAAATTCACAAGGAGAAATTTAAAGAAGCTTAACCAAAATATTGGGTGGAAAAGGGAAAGAAAATTTTTCAACATAATCCAACTTTTAAAGGGAAAATTGGAGCTTCTCTAGGTAAGTTAATCTCACCTACACTACAAAAAAGTTTAATTTCATTTTAATTTTATGTTTAATCTAATTATTTGAATATACCAAATGAATTTATAGTTTGTAGCCTAAAATGAAAAGTATCACAAGAATACTTAACATGTTGGGAATATATTGAATCAAGTTAAAGTCAATGGATTGAAATGAAAACCACAACATAATCAATTTCAATAAATATAGATTATACAAAGAAGAAGCAAATAAAACATTCGAATCCATTTTTTTAAATATATTTTTTGCTTCCGGGCCATATATGCTTGGATCATGTGCATACTCCCCCATGCAGAGCAATAAATATTTTTTTTCAAAAAATTGGGATAAATTATTTGCAATACACCTCTAACTCTTAGATTAAACATATATTTAAAGTCATACTACTCTCATTTAAAAATTATAAGAATCTATCGTACACATTTTAAAACAAGAGCAAATAATCATGTTGAAAAACATATCATTCTAAAATAGAGAAATAGAGACAAGTAAATTATATTTGATAACAAATAAAATCTCCTAATATGGCAAAAAAATATTTTTTTCCCATAATTTATCACAAAATTCAATAATAAAAAATACTCAAATTAAATCAGGAAAAAAGATTAATTTTCGATGAACTATTATTGGTCGAAAAATTAGAGCTATCATTTTTCAACCTCCTACATCTAAGTTCTTAGTTATTTTTTTATCCAAAACACCTCAAAATCATTGAAACAGACTCAAAAAACTCATTTGAAACTTGCAATTCATTTAATGCACTTAAAAAAAAAATCATATCAAATTCAAAACTTAAATATATTTTACGCTTTCGATTTTCTTTTTTTAACCATTGTATATTTAAGACTATTATAAACAAACTATTCTCATCAAGATGAACGCAAACATGATCGGAATGAGTCTCATTACGACTTTCTATCTCCTTTCTATATTTAGGAATAAAAATGCGACGTAATTGAAGTGGAGAATCGAAACAAATGTTTTGAAAAAACTTAGAGACCAAAATATAATATTTGTTAAAATTTGTCTATTAAATGCTTAAAGAAAGCTTGAAAATTACAATGATTCCATAAAAAAGAAACCACAACTCATTGAACAATAATAATCTAGATCTTTTAGTTTCTTTATTAATATTTAATAACTATTTTACTTAAATGAAAACCATGTTAAATAGAATATAAATATCTAAATTTCTCACTTTAAGAGTAACAAATGAAATATAGATTCTCGAAATTTGATCCATAAATACCCATTGCCATCCTAATTGCCAACAATAACAATCATATATTTTTTCTATTAACTATTTGTGCATTCATGATTTTTTTTTAATAACAAATGTGGTTATCGTTTACTAATAAATTTTTCATATTTAATTATTTTCCTATTGGATGAATGGTTAATATATGAAAAGAATGTTAAGAAATATAATTGTCAGGCAAATAATTAAAGTTATTAAATATTATTTCTCTTTTCTCTTCTTCTTTTTTCCTTTTTTTTACTAAATAATTGATAATATTTTACTAAGTAATTGATAATATCTACACATGATTTTTTTTATAATAAAAATATTTTTGGACTAGTTTGTTTGTTAATCTAAACCAAGTCTTTTTCTAGACCATCTTAAAAGAACAACCTCCATATTGGTGTAGTACATTAAGAGGAATTTCATAATTCCATTAGAAATTGCTTATAATAGTTACAATTAGAACAATTAAGAAACAAAACAAATATCTTTAATCATCACACCAACCCCTTAAAATTATCTACACATGACATGAAAACATGGCTGCTTGCCATGCATTGGGTCGAAGGAACACAACCGAAAATTTTTAGATGTAATAATTGGATAAGATGGATATCTATAGATTGAGTTTTTAAATATATTTATTCTTAATTCATTACTATTAGGATAATAAATTTAAAATTTTAGTTTCGGATATTTATTATTTAATATATATATATAAATATAAAAAATATATATTTGATATATATAAAATTTTTAATTTGATATGTAAATATTATATTTAATGAAAAAACTATAAATTTCTTATGTATATAATACTAATATAAAAATTTTAAATTGGATTTAGAAGACGGAGTTTGACAATATTAATATTCTATCCTTTATTTCCAGGGCAAAACTTGTAGATATTTTTTCGAGTCGGTTCGTTTAAGTATAGATGGCGTATGGATTCAATCACAATCCCTGCTCCTGAATCATGGAAGAATGATAGAAAATTTGGAAAAGATGTG